AGCATCCTGGGATGCTGGGAGACTGTGAGTTAACTTGAACTAGGAAGGTGTCTGGGACAGAAGATCCATAAACTAGTTTGATCTAAATCTGTTCAGTCTGATACTACATCCATCCAAGTTTATCTTAAACCAGTTTCAACCATTTTGAAAGTGGTTTAAGTGCACTGAACACCTGTTCTGTTACAGGTTTAAAGTGGTTTCTGATCACTTAAACTGGTTGGTGTGTAACTTCTGTTCCTAGCCAAGAGGATTTCCCTTCTCAGCAAGGGGAATTGCAACAGAAAGAATCAGCAGCAGTTAGTGGCAAGGGAAGCAGTGCTATGACATAAACACACAAGTTCAGGCAACACTGAGATACTATATTAATACAGATAGTAGGACACTGCGCTGTGGATCTAAAGATCTCAACCATATTGATGATCCATGCAGCAGTAGGGAGCTATAAAACAGCATAAGATGATTTTTTTCATTCATGCCTTGTTAGAGCTTTTGAAAAATGTAAGAATGTAAATTAAAAAGCTACATTAAAAGAATCTTAAGAAAAGCCAAGTACCTTAAAGTTAGAAAATATTTATACTCAGGTTGTGCAAACTTAATTTGTGTTGATACACTGGACAGACTAGAATTTCTCTACTTCCCCAATTTAAAATTTTGTTTTTGTTCTGAAACAGAACAAAACATGGAATTTCGAAATCTACCATGAAACAAAATGTCAAAAACCATTGGTTTTGGTCAATTACAAAAAATCATTTCAATTTAGACTTTTTTTTTGTTATTCATTATGTAACTAATTTGAAAACAAAGAATTGTTTTGAAACCAAAATAATTGAAGTTTCCCATGCCAAAGATTTGGAAATAAGCTTTGTCATCTTCAGAGAGAAACATTTCAGTTTTTCTTCAAAATGAAATTCCACTGAAAACAACATATTCTCAAGGAAAATTTCAGTTAAAGTGAAACAGCATTCTCCAGCGCAAAACAAACAAACAAATATTCCAAAAAAATATTCTGTTTGATGAGAAGCTCCACTGGGTTACAAGCTACTACTACTGAATTTTGTTTGGTAAAGCTGTAGCTATAAAACAAGGACTTAATCCTTGAAGGAGTATGTCTCTCACTTGGCCAGCAGATGGCAGTTTTTCTGAACTGATTCTACAGTTTCCTATTTTAGGGCTTTGGTTAAGGTTAAAAAGCCAGTAAGCTTAACATTCAGCACTGTCCTCTGCAGTGTGTTATAGTGTGTGTTTATGCAGATGAATGCACCACACCTGTGCATCTCCTTACTAAGTACTGAAGCTCTTTCAATCTGCAAGGAAAGCCTGCCCAGCTACTTACACATATACAGTTTCCTGTACAGTAGCCTAATTAGCTGTGCAGTACATGTTTCACATCTATATATACACAGCTATTAGGGTGCAGTAGATTAATAAACTCTGCAGATGGATAGTACTTATAAATAGTAAATAGGAGGGTTTTTTACTGTGCAGCACCACACATATAGATGCTGACTCAGGAACATCCTAGTCCACCCAGGCACCAGAGGGCCTCAACTCCTGCATGCTGGTGGTAAAGGAGTCTCATGCCAGAGCCAGCCTCTGCCACCTGACAGAGGCATCCAGAGCTCAGGTCTGACCCCTGTGCCTCCAGTCAGCTTGCATCCCAGAGCCCAGAGCTAAGCCCCATGTTTACCACTCCCAGAGCCCAGGCCTGACCTCCCTGTACCCACCACCAGCCAGAAGCTGCCCCCAGAGCCTGTGCCAACTCGCCCCTCTCCCTCAAGCCCAGGGAATCAGGCCTGACCCCCCTCTGCCCCTGTACTCCCTACCAACTTATGGCTGACCCTGGTGCCCCCTGCCAGCCTGGGCCTGACCCCCATTCACCCTGCCAGCTTGAGGCTGGCACCCAGGCAGCTGTAGCCAGAGTCTGGAGCTCCCCTGGGCTACTGCAGGAGTCCAGAGGAGGGCAGGAGCAGCCCTGGCCTAAACTGCTCCTCCTGGGCTCAGTTTGCTCCTGACCTGGGTGCACGTGTAGATGTTGCACCCAGAAGTATTTTACTGCGGTGCAGTTTGAGCCGCAGTTTATTCATACATATTAATTGCATGTGTAGATGCACCCAGTATGTACAAAGTACCCTATCTTGGGTGTGAATGTTATAGGTATTTTACAAATACAAATATTAAGAGTTAGTCTGTACCCCAGTTGTGGTTTAAACTAGTGACCAGCGCAGCTGAACATACTCCTCTATTCAAGCATCTCCACTATGTGAATGGGCACTAGAAGAACTCATGAAATCTGCTGGTTCTGAGAACCAGGAGT